CAAGCATCACCAAGTCCTCAGGAATCCAACCAAGAGCCCTTACGTTTCTCTTCAGCTGCTTCACCATTACATCAGACCCACCAAAGCGAAGCAGAAACACCCGTGAAAACCCGGGAGACCGCGCCGAGGGCGCGACTCATCCTCTCCCACCCCACCTGGAACCCTGCAGCAGCGGTTGTGCAAATACTCGAGCCGCTTTTCAGCGACTGCTCTGCCTCCTGGGCCGAGTCGTCCGCCCTCGGCTGCGCCGCCACCCACAAACCCTGGAGCCGCAGCAGAGGCGAGGAGCTGTCAGGGCAGCGCCGTGAGGTAACCCCCCCCGGTCCAGCTCCCGGCCTGCGGGGCGGGAGGTGCAGGGCAAGGTGCAGTCACACTCACAGGATTCTAAGTGTTTTTGGAAAACGGTTTATTTGGGAATTAACGTCATATTTTAAATCTTCCAAAATACATCTTGCTAGATCCCTACAAAAGAAACCTAAAGAAGTACAACCATATGAAATTAAGTTTGTTGCAACAGTCATTAAATATTTACTTCCACTAATATATACATACAAAATGCCACACAACGAGCTCGTTTACCCTTGGAATGTGCGCTGCTTCCCAGCAGTTACGCTCCAGCTCCAGGCTCCTCCAGTCCCGCAACGTGAAGACTCAATATTAACACTTTGTACATCCTTTATTAGAGGCGAAAAGCAAAAGTTTGTTTCTGTTGGGTTTGTTGTTTGGTAGGGTTTGGGGTTTTTTTTGTCATGGGGGTTTTTTTTTGGGTTTTTGTTTTTGTTTTGTTTTTTTTAACAGAAATTAGAAGGAACCCTCTGGCATTTCACAGCTGTGGTAGTTTGTCTACTGGGGTATCAAACTTGAAGTCTGCTGGGAAGAGATCTGGAGCTCGAGGATAGATGAGCCTGTACGACTGTCTGATTGTAACATCGGCCACACCAGCAATATCACCAATTTCTAGGACAAAAAAGCAGAGAAGCCGTTAGTTTTTAACTTTTTATGGAAGAAACCAGCAAGCGCAGTCTTATCAAGAAGCGCTATACACGCAGCTTCACTCCTAACTCGCCCCAAAGCCTAGAAAAAAATGGGTTTAACCACTAGTATTTTGCCTATGCAAGTCTGTCTTCTCACGTGCCTTAATTCAACTTAGGGCATCGATCTTGGGAAAAAAAAAAAAACACCCACAAAAATACCAGTTTCACTTTAGGAGGGCCAAGAGTGCAAAAGTCCTTAGAACCACCTACTGCAACCCCTGCGTGAGCTCAGCAACGTTCTAACCAACCGCCAGTCTCGGGATCTTCATTTCTGTGCTTCTGTTCCACAGAAGGGAAGACCAGGCATAGACGAAGCGACACCTTCAGCTGAACAGGACATCCATTTACCTCAGAACGCCCCGAGACAGAAGGCAGAGGCCCAGAGCACTGTTTAACGGGCCAAGGGAACACTCGTTGGAGCTGCACGGGAACGCAGATTTAGTCCAGATTTAACCCAGTTTGGAATTCAAACCCGGAAAGCCTTCAGCGTTGTCTGAGGACGCTGAAGGAGGGCGGAGTCGTGCCTGCATCCACGGCGGGCAGCTGTGTCTTAACTGTCGCTCTCGGGGGACAGAACTGAGGCAAACCAGGAAAGCACCGTCCTGCCCCCGCACCCAGGAGACTGCCAACGCGAGGAAAGCTCCAGGGACAGGATAAGCAGGGATTAACGCAGAACAAAGCGCCACAGCCTGACGGATAAAGGCTGTTCTTTACCTAAAACCACTAAGAAACAGCTGGAGTTTTAACATATCTGATCTGGACTGGACATCCCAAGGGAGCTCCCAGCGCTTGGGTCCGTTCGCCACACCGAGTTCCTCCCACCGCAGCTTCGCCCAGGCCGCACGCTACCACTGGATTCTCTTCCAAGCAGCAAGACAAGGAGGAAAAAGGAAAAAACACCAACCAAACCAGTAAAGTTTTACCTTTTTGTGTCCTTTTCTCCGCCGAAGCCTGCGATGCCATGTAAATAGCCGCAGCTGCTACCGAGATGGGGCTTCTCCCAGGAACCAAATCCAGTTCCACAGCTTTACGGGCGATGTGCGTGGCTGCCATTTGGACTTGTTTGGGAAGACCCAGATTGGAGCAGAATCTCGACATGAAGTCTCCGGTTGTAATCAGATCGACACTGGTTTCGAGAGCTTTCAAAATCAGTTTAAAACACCGGCCTATTTCCTTCTTTGAAATCCTGGACACCGCACAGATTTCTAAACAAAAGAGGAAAAATGAAACTCGAGGCTTGAGAGCCTTTGCTCCCCCAAATCCATCAAGTTTGATCCTCGGTATGGTAAGGCCCATGAAGGCCACCTGCCATCAGTAATTAAGCTTTGCACATCTGTGAAACATCCAAATCACTTCAGTCAGGGCACGTTTTTCGAAGGAGCTAATTAACGCAGCTTGCTCAGTACGGGAAGGTTGGCACTCGGTGCCAAAAAAGGTTGTGTCCCCATCAGGGAGAAGGTGACGTGTTTACTGCAGGGCTGTCGGGTCACATTCAGTTCCAGCAGTCCCCGCCATCCCCCCACCAAAGCGATACCTTTTCAAGCTTCGCCAACCCCCACACACACCCCCCAAGTGACTTGTTCATGTTCATCTTCCATTCGTCACGCCCAAACTGCCCAGGCCCCAGAGCCTGCTCGCTTCAGGAACACGACAAGCTTCCAGACTCCCCCCTACCCTGCCCCTGAAGGAGAGCTGTAGCTGAGAACAACCGATGCAGCAGAGTCCGGGAATGAGACAACCAGCCTCCTCCAGCGGCAGTAACCAGACCTTTGCCGCCCAGCAAAACTAAGTCTGTACGGCTGAAAACTTACCTTTAAATGTTCTTGGAACCCCCTCTTGCCTACAGGCTATGTAGAGACAAGCAGAAGCAATAGCATCATTACTCCTCCCCTTCAGGCTCTTTTGCTCATACACTTGCTTGAATAAATTATTTGTTCGATCCTTCAAAGCAAGAAGACTAAATTTAATTAACTCTAGGCCATTTAATTAGCAGCAATATCAAAAATTCATGCGCTCATTATATTATGCTAACTAAGTCAATGCCAGAACAGTTTAAGGAAGGGAGACAGGAACTTACAACTATATTTCTAGGGAGGTTGATTCTGTCTGCCATGTTCGTGATCTCTTTAAAAGCGTTCATCATCGCACGATCGGAGCTGCTCATCGTTCTGCGGTTCTGGTACTTTGAATTCCCAAATTCATCAAAACTGGCTGCACCTGTGCCCTGGAAGGAAAACATTGGTACAACAAATTCAACAGAACGCGAGCAACTTGCCCCTTGTTTCAAGAACAAACGTCTTTTGCAGCTTCACACACCTCCAGCTCGAGGCGTTCAGCCCCAAGAGCGGTGCGAGCGCCCACCACTGAAGCGCAGCCACCCAACTGAGCGGCGTCCCAGGCGTCAGGGTCTACGCTCTGCACAAGCCTCAATCCATGACTTGATTTCCAAGGACCACGGGTTATGCAGGGATTTGTCTTCCCCAACCCAACAGCTGAAGGCTATGGCAGCCAACGTGTGCCTCCCGATACTCCCGTCACCGACGCCGAGGTCCGAGAGCAGATTTTCGGCAACCCGTTACGTCACCGGGGCTGCATCTGCGCTGGCGTGGCAGAGTGGCGAGCCAGGAAAGCAAAACTTTATGGCCAACTGGAGACCAGCTGGTACAACGATACAACGAAGGCAGGGGCAAAGAGAACATCCAAACCACTGGCCTGTTCAAAACCAATCTGACAGCCCGCCTGCTAGCGGTTGCGAGCCGCCTTTGTGGCAAAACGCCAACATCCATAAATTCTGCCTTTCCAGGCAAACCAGGGGCCACTGAAAAGAAAAGCTTGAGGTCGTAGGAGAAGTAAGAGCCACCAACTCAACCTGGCTACTTCAAAACAAGCTTCCAACATGCATTTTATTTTGTACCTTACAACTGATGGTGCAAATTGCACGATTCTGTTAAATACACAATCCGTTTTGTCCAGCTAAGTGGGTCTAGAACGTTTAAGGTCTTCAATCGGCCATCAGCCCAAAAGATGTCTAACAAATAATGCCACGTCAGATTAGTGACAGGTGACGACAACACGGCCTGCAAGTTCAGGAGAGCAACGTCCGTAGTCTGTAGTGTCCGTGTTCGCTGTCACAGCGCGTGGGGCCACGAGTTCTCTCAACTGGGAAATGTTTCCTCACAACAGTTCCACGTCATGAGTTTGGGTTTGCCCAAACCAGCAAGCGTAAAGCAGATCTTGATCCAAGGCGAGACTGCTAACCCGCCGAGTCCGCAGGCTGAAGACTCAGCGATGTATCCGGGCGGTACAACGTGGGGCCAGGCCACCCTGAGCAAAGGGCAGAGCACACCCTGGCACCACCTCATCCCTCCGAGCTGCCCAGATGGCGTCAGAGCTCGCTGCTGCTTTCCTCTTCTTGGGAACCGCCCCTCTTTCTTAGAGCAGCCCCATAATCTCTCTCCCTGGTGCCCACCTGCACTTCCTACACGTTCCCTGTTGACCGTGATAACCCTCACTCTTGACCCTTCACTGATTCCCTACACCCAAAGACTCCACGTACACCCCACTTCTGAGGAGCTCAGTGGAGCTCTACTGTCGAGACCCAGACCTGTGGGGCACACGCACTTTGATACCGCTGTGGAGACCGAGGGCTCTGGCACAGAACCCTCCCTCACCTCTAACCCCTTGAAGAGGCCCTCTAGGACAGATGTCAGATTCCAAGATTGGTCTTGGGTTTTTTTTTCTGCTCCTTCAAACTTCCTTTCAGATGAAAGAACCACCCAGAAATGATCCCGGCACCAACAGAGCAGAGAGCTGCTCCAAAGGCAACCCTACTTCCTTGACTGGATGGGCACCTCCAACCACCCAAAGGCTCCCAGTAAGGTTTACAGGTAAAGAGAAAGAATCCAGGACAGCAAACGTCAGGCCACAAAGAGCATGACACACCTATCTGCAACACAAGACCTTCCTCTTGCAGAAATTACACCAGAACAACTTCCCTCGGCCCAAAATTTACGGAAGTCTCTGGTCAAAAGACTCCTTCCTGGCCATCTTCAGACCCCTGTTCCCTGCACTGCAGCTGCTCAAAATCCTGCAGGTGCCCAAAGAGCGGCCGCAGACAAAGGCCTGTCAGCCCTGACAGCAAGTCCCCAGTCCTTGTCCACTCTGGCTTCAGGCCAGGCAGTCCCTTACCAGGAAACATTGCCCTGTCCTGGGGCCATCAAGCATTCCCCTTCACCACAGGGATCTTCCCTGGGCCACTATACAGCACCTAAAAGATTTCTTTTTTTTTTTTAATTGGTAATCATTCTCCTTAACCTCTCATTATTCACTTCTTTGCTGGCTACTTTTTACTTTGAATGCTTGTTTATGTATATTACAACTATCAATGCAGCCACAGGCAAGTACCACCGGCCAAAGTATTGTACCCCATCAGTATGAGCATTCTCCAAGCACCACACCCAATAATATACAGCTCACAACTATAAAAGGGTTGGAAAATACTCTTCCATCTCAACTGCTTAAATAAACCACAGCAATTCTCCCTGCACACGCTATTTAAATGCACCATCTACTTTTCTTCTGGAGCTTTCAATCGAGGGACAAGGGTTTGTTGGCTTCGGCCCTTGACAACCACGTTAGGAGTCCCTTTCCCTTTGTGGAAAAACCAGAAGCCATACTGTTCTAACTGAAATCAAACAGGCTGTAAGAATTGTGCAGTTTACTGTCGTGGCCTTTATGAGACACCTAACTGCTCTTTCCCATCTCAGCAAGAAAGGCACCTGTCAAAGTCAGAAGTTCCACCTGTTTGGCTTTCAAACAGAGCAGGAACCTCACAGGCACCATCCTGGGAACAGCCTCCAAGACAGCTACAGCGAGAAAACACAGCCCAGCCAACAGTGGTCATCTCTGACAGCGCTCAGCGGAGGCTGGGTTTACAGGGCCGGCAGCCAGCTGCTGGGGACCCCAGTATATCCCCTTTCATAGCAGAAGTATCACCAACATCACCCACATCACTGACTTGAGGTGCTCCACAGCGCCAAGGAACGCCCCCAGATCCAGCAGTCCTCTTGCCCAGGACAACCAGCTCATTACACAGTCTGAGAGATCCTTTCTTCTTTTTCCATCACCAGCCCTTGGTCTCTCTCCACTGGCTTATCAACACAGCACTTCCAGACCCAGGCCGTGCAGTCTGACCACAGCCAGCCTCCTTCAGAGGCAGCTGATCAACGGGCAGGAATTCTATACCGAGAGATTGCATTCGTTTCTTGTTCGACCTAAATTCTCTTGTAGTTTCAGCCACTACAAAAAGGAACAGATTAACTACAAAGGGCGACAAGAGGCAACTTTTTCCACAAGATACATAGCAAACCAAAGTTTTCTTTAAGATTCATAGAAAAAAAAAGGTTCTTTCTATCAAGGCAGATCTAGAAGCTCCTTGTTCCGTTGTTTTTCTTGAATTTTACACCAGGATTTTTAGAAATAACTGTAATATTCTGGCAATCGAGTCACAACCAACCCCAGACTTCACCACATCTCCAACTGATCTGCATTGTCACCAATCAGATCAACTGCAGCACGCAGCATCTACTTTCAGAGAGTGCCAATATCCCAAAGATCTGCCTGAAGAATGCAAGCCGCTTCCACCACAGCCAACTATGCTATTCATCCTCCTCTTCACAGACAAATTAATCTTTCTTCCAACGCAGGCTGTTGCTGCCTCAGACAGATGGGTCCCTTAAGTACTAAAACCAGTTAGGAACTAATCCCTTCGCACGGGCAGAGGGGCCTCTCTTGCTGCTCAGCAGATGCCGACCACATACCCCCAGCAGAAAGCAGTCCTGAAACCTCCCGGTTTCAAGGAGGAAAAAGTGATGAAAAACCATTCTGCGAAGCAGAACTGGCCCCTTCCTTTACTATTTCAAGGCAACAGCCGGTCACCAGAAAGTTACTGGTCTAACTGGCAAGTGGTTCGGACTCCACTTCCACCTACGCTCCCAGGAGTTTAGGACAGATCTCTGGTGCGATGTGCCACGAGAATTATCAACGTCCTCCTCTTCTGGATTTTCCACAACACAGGCTGCGGGTTGGCTGTTTGTTTTAAAGACTGCATTACCTGCAGCTCCGCCTCAGGCGGAAAGGGAACACCTCTGTTCCCCATCCCTGTGAAAGGCCACAACAACCTCTGGCACACCAATCTAGGGTCTGCTCCAGGCCACTCTAGGAATTGTTAACTGAGAAAAACAGAGTCTTGCCCCGCTGCATTCTCTGCAACTCCTGCAGGCTGTTCCGCACTCTGTCGGATGCTACTGATCGTCCTCACGGCCCCACCAGTCTCACCCGTGTTCAACCACGGTGCGTATCGAGACCAGTCCCCATCCCAGCCCGCTGCTGGCCCGGCCTGCAGAAGACTGCCCGTGAAACACACTACTCCTTGGTTCGGTTCATTTTGCTGCACAGTTCATGGCCTTTCTGCGCCGACGGGGAATTTCTCCAGCACCTTCTGATATGAGCCGTTCTCTTCCTTCCAAATGACTGAGGAAAAATGCAGCGCGGCTGATGCAGGGTTGACAGCAAGGAGCTGCCATCCCAGAGCCCCCCCGCTCGCTGGCAAGGCGAGCACAGGAACTCTGGTACAGACACATCCTGGTTTGCCAAAGAGATTCCCATTTTTCTGGAGAAAACAATGTGTGTCTTCAGTGACTCCTCCCCATGCAACAGGGGTCTAGTGTTCTAGACCAACACATCACCCACAGGAGGACAGACTGCCCCCTCTACAGTCTGGCAGCTCCGCTACTTGGACACGTTCGCGCAGTTCCCGTCGGTTAAATCGTGCCGCACCAACGCTCCCGCATCTTGTCTTCGCCGAGCGGCACCCTTTGCTTCAGCAAGCGCGGTCACGCCGCCTCTGGGATGTTCTGGTTAACAGCAAAACTGTTTCATGACACCAGTGTCCACCTCTGGAAAATTTTTAGTTTTCGCTGAAAAACACTTTGCACAGACATTTCTTTATGTCTTTAATTCTCTCACTGAGGCTGCTACGCCTCTTACTCTAAATGAAGATCTGAACCTCCAGAGAGAAGCAGGTTAACAGCACAAGTCACTGGTCACCTGGATACAAGCTCTATCTTTAAATGTCTTTTCCAACACACGGGTTCTGAAAGAGCTCATCCTACCTACGGCGTCACACTGAGCTCCCAGAAACAAACCCTGTATTTACACAGTCCCCAAACAGGACAACGGTGCGAACCCGGAGACAACGGTCCATTTATCTTCTCAGGGGTATCTCAGATCTTCATCACAGCTGACCAAATCAGCAACTGAAATCCAAAAGCCCTGAGAACTGCAGTCTTCCTAGACTCCAGGGACTTCTACAGCGCTGCTTCACAGAGCTACTTGGCAATGCCAACCCTTTTAATGGAGCAGTGCAGAAATTTATTTGCCTGAACGGGTTCCAAAAGCCACCGTAAAGCACCCTAAAATCTGGTGGGTAGCAACGCTTGGAGTTGTCCAAAACACAAGCATTTACTTGGACCATCCTTTGAACAGAAGGTTTCTTTTTCACCAGTGGTGAAAGATTGGCTGTCCATACCAGTATTCGCTGGTCAACCTCATCTCTTTGAGGAACACTTGGTTCAGAAGCATGGGGCACACTCCCCTACACGTATCCCTTCGCATTCAGGTACATCTACTTCTTCATCCCAGCAACGTCACTGGATCAAAAGTTTCTGAGAAATCCTGCTGGGCATGTACAACACCACACAAAGCAGCAATACCGTTTTTCATAGTTATTTACCAGCAACTGGACCACCTTTCATGAAACGTTCAAGAAAGCCACAAAAAACTTACCTGGGTTACTACTTCATTAAAAGGGAGCGCATCTGCACGATTAGTCCTGCTGTATCACCAAATTTCAACTCAAACATACATTGCAAGCTTTCTTCTGGAGCACTCACACCATGAAAGAATTCTACATTTAGCGCTTTATCATTAACTGGAAGAGCACGTGCAACACGCAGGTCGACCTCCAGGTCTCCAATATGAATCTGACACACGTTTTACTACAAAAACATGACAAGCTGATGTTGGGCAGTACTAGCTAGAGACCTCAAAACGAAGTATCTGTTATTTCAGAACCATTTCAAATACACATGCTAAGTCAAAGTGTTTATTTCAAGATTGCAACATCAGCTTTTCTATTTATAGCAGCATACCAAAGCGTGGCAAGGAACCCCACAGCACTGCAAACTTGTCTTCTGTCAAAGAGGTCAGCCCTCTCCTGCTGCCCCGAGGAAAGAGCCATATTTTACACACCACTGAAATGTAAGAGTCCAGTGTAGACAAAATCTCTTTGGAAATACATTCCCTGAATAGTTTTTTTAGACACACAAACACGTACTTGACATAAAAACACTCAAACTTAGTAAAATTTAGTATTTTAAGAGTTACCTTGCCAATCATTGTACTCAAGTCACCGTCGCTCAACAAAGGATTCTGGGTGTCCCCAACTCGAGACGGATCTTTTGTCGCTTTGTCATTGCTGAAAGTTCTCCACTCGGACCCTACGTCTATGACCCGGTCACCTGAGTTCACACAAAGCAACAGCCTGCATTAATGTCACATTTTGAAACAGTTCATGAAACATCCAGTTACGCATCTGAGCTCCCCCTTGCAAGGCGGCAGCCTGCTGGCATTCCCAAACGGAACAGCCGCTTGCAGGACAAGGTACCAAAATGTTTGGGATTTACGAGCTAAGTTGAAGGCAATGGAGAAAAAAACAATACTATTAGAGCTGCACAGAAAACGTAAGTACCTACAGAAATGCAGCCAGAACACAGAGTTACAGTTATCCTTAAAGAATACCATGGGATCTTCAGTTCACAAACGGAATCGAGACCTTGATTTCAAGCTGGAGATCATGGTTGCCCACGGATGTTCTCAGTGCTTACGAACGAGTAAGATACTGTAACTTAATTGTTCTCTCACGTATGCCACGTGTTCACAGCACACACGTGAATTATCCATCATGCACGATCTCATCATGCTGTAGTAAATCACTTCCACGGTTCTCTGAAACATGTCACCTTCAAACCCGCCGTGATGGCGTTCTGCAGCTCAGTTCTCAGTCCTGACGGCTGGTCTGACCCTGCCCAACGCCATTCATGATGCCTGACAGAAACAACACCCAATGTATGTATATACACACAACCATTTCTTCTTAAACTCCACCTACCCTGTTATACCGGGAAGAGTTTAAATACAGATTCAGAGTAAGCACAAAAAGCACTAAACCCACATTCTCTGAATAAAAAAAAAATTAATAAATTCCCTTGCAGTCTTCTATTCAGCTCACATTCATCTAAACCTTTCCTACAGCAACTTTTCAGATTGAGAAATAACTCTGACCAATGTTTGGACCCAGGCAAAATCCCTACAGTTATCACAATGATACAA